GATGTCGGGGTTGGTGGTCATGGAGCTAAATTCTGCGAACATGTTAGTCTCGTTTTTCATAGATGCTCTGCCTGTGTACACGTACGCTCTTCGAGGCTGTCACCTCCAACAAGCAGAATAGTCCTCAAATCTGTGCCGCGACCCAGCTCCTTCACAACCTTCAGCGTCTGCAGTGCCAGTTCTCGGGAGGGCGACATGATGATTCCTCGAGCGCCTACTTTGGCAGAATGCGCCTTGAGTTTCTGGATCATGGGGATGACGAATGCGGCCGTCTTTCCGGAACCCGTCCTAGCCATACCCACGACATCTTGTCCATCGAGCATGAGCGGAACGGCCTTGCGCTGGATTGGAGTCGGAATCTTGAATCCCTTCTGCGTGATGGCCTTGAGAAGCGCCGCGTTCAGCCCCATGGCCTGGAAGCCTCCACCTTTCTTAACTGACTTTCCGACATTCGAGGCTTTGCGATTCGAGGCAGCCTGTTTCGCGGCGATAAAGGCTTCGTCGTCGGATCCGTCATCGTGCCCGACGTCCAGATCTACGCCCAGATCTGCGTTCAAATCCGCCTCTTGCTGAACATCATCACCGCCAGCGAGGGCATCAAATATGTCGAACTCGGTTTCGGAGAGCGCCGGCGAGCTCGCGCGGGGAGCCATGACAGGTGGATGGTTGGTAGGGGTCGGAGGCGACGTGATGCACTTTGCCTACCTGACGTCTGAAGGTCGCGCCTCCAGTCTGGCTGTTGGAAAATTTCGGGCACGGGCCTCACGAAATCTTGGCGGCAGGGATGAGCATGGCGCATCTAGTCGCTAGCTTCCACGTGCCCCGCGATGAGGCAGGCGCGTCCGACGCGTTTTGCCCTCACCGAACTTCTGCCATCGCGTCACCCAACCCACACCCACGAGATGAGTATGCAATCCCCTTCTGATCGGCCTTGGACCCTTCATTCTAACCTCTTTAGACAATTACGGCGGCTACGAAACCTCGTACAGTACCACCTCTTACGGCGCTGGCGGTGGTGCTGGCGGAGGCGGCTTCATACCGGGAGAGGGTGGTAGTACACAGAGCCCTGGCGGTCGACAAGACCGTGCCCAAGATACCCTGCGACCCGTCACCATCAAGCAGATACTTGATGCTCAACTCGAAGTCGGCAGCAATGACGCCTTCAAAATCGACGGCACTGTGATTACTCAGGTATGCACGAATTTCACGGTCCATTTGGCTATACTAACCGCTTCCTAAGCTCACATTCGTCGGTCAAATACGCAACATATCCAACCAGACTACAAACACAACCTATAGGCTCGACGATGGCACTGGCAGCGTAGAGGTCAAGCAGTGGGTCGATTCCGATGCTGCAGAGCAGACCAACCCTACCAAAGCGAAGCTCGTCGAAGGTGCTTATTGCCGAGCATGGGGCAAGCTGAAGAGCTTCAACGACCGAAGATCCGTCGGAGCGACCGTAATCCGTCCAGTCGAAGACATGAACGAAGTCTCCTATCACCTGCTTGAAGCGACCGCGGTACATCTATACTTCACGCGTGGGCCCCCTGGCAGTGCGCAGGGTGGTGCCGCTACGAATGGCGCTGGAGGACAGCAACAAGTGGGAGATGGCGGTAGCTACGGCGGCGGATATGATCTTGCCGGTTACACTGCGTCAGCGAAGAGGGTGTTCAACCATCTCAAGACCACTCCTCAGTCCAACGAGGGTCTGAACCAGCACGAGATTGCGGCGCAACTTGGTATGGATACAACCGATGTTGCAAAGGCTGGTGATGATCTATTGTCGGGTGGTCTGATTTACACCACTGTTGACGACCAGACCTGGGCCATCCTCGAGGCTGATTAAGCATGGTGTTTGCACGCGCGGGACCAAGTGTATGGGCGAATAAGTAGGGGAACAACCAAACTGCTGGCAAAACACTAGCACAGGCGTAACGATTCATCATGATATTTCATATACTGCATTGAAAGCATCCGCAAGATACAATCTATCAAACACGATCTACTTCTCTGCATTCGTAGAGAGAAACAGTACACACGTCGCAACGATCGCACTTGACACCACGGTGAACACGACCTGCGTCTTCCAACCTGTCTGCACGAGCGCCCGCCGCGTGCTGTACCGCGAGACCGTATTGATGTAGTTCGACAACCCAGACAACATGCACGCTATTGAAAGAAGCCAGAACACGATTCCTAGTGGCAACGCGAAACGTTTTTCTGTGCAGAGCTGTGAGCATGGTGTGATGAGACTTTGCTATTGACTTACCAAGTGGAGTGGGCTCCGACTTGAGATGGAACGACATAACGATGGCAACAGACACAATGGCCATATACACACTCAGCTTCAGCCACGAAAGGAAAGCTGTGATATTTGTTAGCTACGCAATCTTCTTGTACTTTCGGCAGATCCTGGCATACTTCGTTCGTTCGCAGCATGATCCCTTGCGTCCGAAGACACGTTATCGAACAGCAGCACACCCATCCATGGCCTCTCTCTGAAGGCTACTCGATCGTAGTCATTATTTCTGAATCGCACGTTAGGACTTGAACGAGGATCCCCTAGACTAGGTTGCACGCACTGTTTAACTAAGATGGGCTGGCCTCCAAATATCTTGTAGAACGGTCGGTACGGCTCGGCTAGTATAGATTCATCTGCATCGCCCATACGCGAGGCATCTCGGAAATCCATATTTTTCTGGTAATGTGTAGGACTACTTCGGGTTGCGATGAAAACGCGCTATGGCTAGTGGTATGGGGATGCTTGGTCGGCAGACGAATGAGTGTGCTTGTGTGAGACGCCGCACGGACCCCTGCCGATGAGGTCACTACTGCATTTGGACATCTCCAGGGTTTGTGAGAGTTGATACCATCAACACAATCAACGTTTATCGCATTTCAGCAAAAATGAGTAACGAGAAAGAGCTAGTTCTTTTTGGTGGTGATAAGTAAGTGTTTGGGTAATGCACTGTCGCTTTGAAGCTAATGCATGCGCGTGCAGAGGTTGGAAAGCTTCGGATTGGACGGACAGTGATGACCGTGTGAGAGGAGGAGCGTCTCAGGTAAAACCCATCTCTCAAAATGAATGAAATAAGTTGATAACTAATGTATGATTACTAGTCCTACCTTAACATCAATGGCTCCTCGGCGCGTTTCCACGGCAATCTCGACATCACCGCTCTCGGCGGCGCCGGCTTTGCCAGTCAGCGCACCACCGGCGAGGATCGCACCTGGGATCTATCTACCTACGATGGCATTTATCTCGATCTAGGAAAACACGACGGCAAGAAGTACACACTAACGCTCAAAGACGAGATTCTGCCGCTTATGGCAGATGGACGGGAGCAATCAACTATCAGCTGGGAATACGACTTTGAATCGCAAAGCGAGCTTGGGTTGTTCGTGCCATGGCGTGCAATGAAGCCTACGTATCGCGGGAAAGAGAAGAACGATGCAAAACCATTGGATTTGAAGAACGTCAAGCGGTTTAGCATCATGATGAGAAGGTAACATTGTTCACCACACGCAATCACGGTTTCACAGCAATTGACGATCAGTAGTTTCTTCGGTACCCAAGAAGGCGACTTCTCGCTCACCCTCAACTCGATCAAGGCTGTTGCGCAACCAGACGATGTCGAGAAAGGGATTGTGGGCGGAGAGAAGGGCACAGGAGTAAGACTTTAACTACACTACAGTGCTGATTGGTAGCTAACGCTACGGCAGGGACAGGAGCCTTGGTCGTGGAAGAACTCCAATCTTGTTGGTCTAGCGGTCATTCTGGGCTCGACATGGGCGATCTCTTGGGGATATTGCTGGTGGAAAGGATATGATATGGGCATTATGAGGTTTGGACGGTGGTGGTCTGTCGTGAAGAAGGATACGTTATAGGTGGGGAGTACGCAAGTCGTTACGCGAAGCGTGAGCTCCAGGCATGGCGTTGGATTGGGGACAAAATCGACTCCGTTGATCTTACATATCAGTTCCTACACAATTTTGTCCAAGACGAAAATCTGTATGTATAGTCAGAGTTGGGAATCGTGGCCCGGAAGATTCTATGTGTGAGGAGCAACTAAGCGCCGCCTTCGGGTGGTGCAAGACCATCCCGCCCTATACGCAACAAGCTCTCACATCGATGCGTTCAAGTGGTCAGAAATTTTTGTACAGCGATTTTCATCCTTCTTGCTTGTCGGTAATTTGTAGAGCGCTAGGGCCAGTGGAGATACTTGAAGAAACGCTTGGCTGTATGTTTGTGAGACTAAGCTTGAGTAATCATCAGCGCATTTGCATGCGCAATGAAGGTATCCCAGAGGGTTGGGCCTCTCCTACCCTTGACGAGAGGTTAGAGAGTGGGCGTTTATTGGCGCAGGAACAAGAAGTGCGCAAGAAACGTCCCGCGGACTTAGGATGCTTGACTCCGCTAGTGCAGAGCGACCCACTCCAGTGTGGACCATTCAGCCTGTTCAGGGTGAGCTCCTTCCCAGATCAAAGTCGCCTCCACGCCGCAAAGGAGAAGCGTTCCTCCAACGTCGCTGCAACTTTGGACAAACATTGCTGTTCATGTCACTCGAGATATTCCGATCCCTCACCTGCACCTCGTCCTCCAGCTTACGGTTGCTGACTATCTTGGCCCCATCGCCACTACATCTCCAATCACCAATTTCTCCGCTGCCAAGCGAGGGACCATGGCCAGACCTTCCCAATTTTGTCGATGATGGGCAAACGTCCGCTCGCGGAAATTCTCAACCAGGCGCTCAGGACCGCGAGGTGGAGAGACCGGGGCGCTTTGAGGCTGCATGAACATGGATTTAGATTGCATCAACTGCAGTAGTGGCAGCCTTGAGGAGAAGATGTTCAATGTCCACAGACGCCGCGCAGTGGCTATAAAGAGCGACGGGCGAACGGTGTCAGATAAAGTATCCGCAAGTGTTCCCGTTTGTCTCCCCAGGGTCCTCGATTTGTTTCCGATATTCCTAGCTTGTCGATAATACCGTTTCGCAACCATGCATCTTACGGCTCTTACCCTGGCTTTGGCTACCACCGCCGTCGCGGCGAAGAACTCCACCCAGCCGTACTCGACATGGATGGCTACTTCCTTTTTGTCCAAGGGCCAGAAGGTCGACAACCACTACGTCTCCTCCGTGATTCGTGAAGGTATCCAGAAAGCCGCCGTGACGCAAAATGACACTGCTCTGCTTGAGTATGCCTCCGAGGCCGTCTCGTCCGTTGTCACCTCGAACGGTACCATCAAGGGCTGGAACGCCACTTACTACACATTGGACGATATCCGGTTTGGCAACAACATCCTCTACTTCTGGAACTCTGAAGGACGCAAGGACGAGAAATACGTTGTTGCGGCCAAGGGTCTCAGAGAGCAGCTGAACCGATGGCCGCGCACCCCCACCGGCGGCTTCTGGCACAGGGCCCCGACTTATGAGAATCAGATGTGGTTAGACGGCATCTACATGGCTGATACCTTCTACGCGACCTACACATCGTACTTCGAGCCCAACAACATCACAGCCTGGAACGACATCGAGCTGCAATTCGATCTGATCGAGGAGCACTGCCGAAATGAGACAACCAACCTTCTATACCACGGCTACAGCGAGGACAAATCGACTGTGTGGGCTGACCCAGAGACCGGTGCCTCCCCGTACGTCTGGGACCGTGCTCTAGGATGGTACTTCGTTGCGCTTGTTGAGGTTCTAGAGGTCTTCCCCAAGACACACAAGGGCTACTCCAAGCTCGTCGACTACTTCGTCACGCTCGCTTCTGGTATCAACGACGTGCAAGACACCAGCGGCGGATGGTGGCTGCTCATGGACCCGGAGCTTGCTGGAAGGGAAGGCAACTACATCGAGTCGAGCGCCACCGCCATGTTCACCTACGCGTACATGAAGGGTGTCAGGCTCGGTTTGTTGGAGAAGAAGTACCAGGAGACTGCGTCCAAGGCGTGGGATCTGATGTTGGACGAGTTCATCCAGTACGAGAAGAACGGCACCCTCAGCTTCACCGGCACGGTTACTGTGGGAAGTTTGAAGGGCGATGCGTCGTACGAGTACTACACTGGTGTTGAGACGCTTACCAACGATGGTAAGGGTGCTGGTGCATTCATGTACGCTGCCACCGAGATGGAGTTGGCCGGACTCGAGTAAAAGAGGGTATTTAAACTTCGTTGTATATATTATAGGCATCAGAATTGACTCCAAGAGCAAGTTTTTACATGAAGTCGACATAAACTTTGGTTCAGTAAGCACGATCATGGATGCAGCATGTTTCTCGCCGTGACCTCGGAACCATACGCGACGCTATCCTCATCAAGCCAAAGCGCGCGGCATCTCCCAAATCCCCAAATCCAGCAAGCAACACCAACTACACGATGCGAAAGTACAACCTCGACTTTTACCAAAGGCTCTTATACAAACATGTCTTCCAAGCAAGAAAACGGCCCACGCCGTGATTGCACCTCGGCACGCAGCTGCCGAAAGGTCCGTCACGACTCCAAAAATAACCTGTCGAACGCGGGTCCCCTGAGCAACCAAGTGGAGCCATGAGCCACCGCCCCGAGCAACGCGCCACTGCCTCATGTCAACAGCTGGGCCTTGGAACCAGAACAGGGCAGAGCCATGGCCTCATGGATCTTGCTGGAAGTATCGTGTGACGTGCTTAGCGGCTAAGCCGTTGGCACTGGCTCTGGCTCTGCGGATATTTCTTGACCGTTTAATCGTCCCTGTTTGCTAGATTACTAACAATTCTCCGACTACTTACCTATACATTGCAGTGAACAAGAGAACGTTGGTACTCGCTGTTAGACTACTACAATACCTACGACTGTACCTAATGTAAGTCCTTGAACATCCTTTATGCATCACCTTCCTAACCACCACTCCAGTAATCCAGCCTTCAAACCTCACCTCCACCTCACCCAAAATGTCCCTCATATCCTCCGCCGCCTCTCCAAGCGCAACAAGTACCTCGTGCACCACAGCCGACTTCTCCGTCTTCCCCACACAAGACATATTCTGCGGCGTAGGCAGCACAACGGGCGTCGCGTCCAACACCTCCTCCGCACTCAAACAATGCTGCAAAGACGCTCCGGTCGAGGAGTTCAACGGCTCCTGCGGATACTACTGTCTCAGCTACGAACAGACGGTTGCTGATCTGCGGACTTGCTTCATGGACAACGGGGTTAATCCGAGGGATATCCTTTGCTCAGGGAATAATACTGCGAGTGCGACGGGCACGCCTAGTGGTGGTGCGAGTCGCACGGGTAGTAGTGGGCCGGATGCGACGGGGGAGGATGGGAAGCCGGATACGGGCGCTGCGGTGCATGTGGGTGTGTCGAAGACTGCGGTGGGCATGCTGGGCATGCTTGTCATGTCGGCGTTCGCTGGTGCGCTGTTGTAGGGTGCTATCGCGGTAATGATGGATGTCTACGATGTGGTTGCTGCTTTACCTTTCTCGTTTAAGCATAATACCAGATATTCTCTTACTTTCCACATCTCAAGTCTCCTGGTAACATCTTCTCAAAAGTTGTTGCAGAAGCGTGGCTTACTCGCCATTACAGGCTGTGTTCGGTATACCTCCTGCTTACACCAATCACCGCCAATCAACGCTTTGAAGAGACGAGTCTCGCCTACAATGGCTGGCATACGCATGCCTTGGCGGTTATGCATTATTTATCGATCGATGTCTCCGTATACGGTCTCATCATGCGATTGGACTTCACACAACAGGTCATGGGTATCTATTGCCTACCGACACAGTGGTAATGCAACTTACCCCGCCAGAGGTGTAACCAGAGCCTGCATGTAGAAGAGAGCCATCATACGTCTAGTGGAGAAACAAAGGGTATATATGGCGAGATTCGATGCCCTTTCAGTCTGACCTGTTGGTAGGACAACAACCTACTTAACCCACATCTGGATCATGGGCACTTTAGCTGCAATAAGCATCGCCATCTCAGTCATAGGGCTCTACTACATCCTCATAATAGGACGCCGAGAAGCCCATCTACCACCCGGTACCTCCCTCTCCATCCCTGGTCCCATCCTACCCCATCCTATCCCAAAGCTAACCCGCCCATCTAGGCCCACGTCCCCTCCCCCTCCTCGGCAACGTACTCTCCATACCCACCAAAAACGCCCAATTCCAATTCACAAAATGGGCCTCCCAGTACGGCGACATCTACAGCCTCAAGCTCTTCCACACCACCACCATCGTCCTCAGCTCCCGGCGCCTCGTCCGCGAGCTCATCGACAAAAGGGGAACGACATACAGCAGCCGCCCACCCTTCGTCTTTGCAACAAAGTACATCGCGCGCGATCCCGCGAATATGCCTCTAGTCGTCTTCATGCCGTCGGGCGAGAAACTGAGGTTATGCCGCAAGTTACTGGCGCAGTGTTTCAACGAGGCGAAAGTAGATAAAGAGTACATTGGACTTGTGGAGGCGGAGGCTAGCCAGATGCTGTGTGATTTTGCGAAAGAGCCGGAGGAGTTCATGGGGCATACGTTGCGGTTCTCGAATAGCACTATCAAGAGTCTGGTTTACGGGACAAGAACGAGACATGCGGAGCAGCTGGAGGAGTACAAGGCTTGGTTTGACAAGTACGTTGCGTTGCTTGAGGTTGGTGCAACACCGCCGGTCGATTTGCTACCGTGGTTGGTGCATGTGCCACAGGGGCTGTGGACAGGACGCTGGAAGAATTGGAAGGATAAGAGCGAGGAGACTTCGAGGGCGGTTAATGCTGCGTTTACGCAGATGGCGGAGCCGGTGTTGGAGAGGAGGAAACGGGGTGTGCGTGCAGCGACTGTATATGACTATGTGCTTGATGAGGGCGAGAAGGGGATTGATCTTACGAGAAGAGATTTGGATGTTTTTGCTGGGTCGCTGATCGATGCCGGGAGTGACACGACGGCGTCTGCTATACGAGTCTTCATTCAGGCGATGGCTAGGTATCCGGATGTTCAGGAACGAGCACACAGACATGTTGATGAGGTGGTGGGAAGCTTGCGATCGCCCGGGTGGAGCGATGTCGCGAGGTTACCCTATGTCGTGCAGATTATCAAGGAGGTCATGCGATGGAGACCTCTTGCGGCCTTGATAATGCGCTCTACCACCGCTGGTATCCTTCACTCCGCTGGGATCATGAACCAACCGTGGCTAATGTGAAGCAGATGACACGATTGACGGCTACTTTATTCCGAAGGGCACGACTGTTCTCATGAACGTCTGGGCCTTGAACCATGGCCCATGCGATGTCGACACTTGTGAATCCCCAATGTCGGTTTTCAATCCTGATCGCTACGAAACGCGTACGCACACTTCAGCTCAGTACGCAGCATCTCCCGACATTGCCTCACGAGATCACTTCACGTTCGGTGCTGGTCGTCGTATTTGTCCTGGCATGCATCTTGCTGAGCGCAGTCTCTTCGTTGCTATTGCGAAACTACTTTGGGCCTTCGAGTTCAAAGAGAAGCCTGGGAAGCCTATTGATATCGATCCCGACACTGGGTTTATGGATGGTATTGTGAGGACGCCGAAGGATTTTGAATGCGAGATACGGGTGAGAGAGGGACGCGAGGGAGTGCTTGAAAGGGAATTTGCGGAGGCGAGAGATGTGTTGGTGAAGTACGAATTGTGAGAGAGTTGTGAGTTGACGTCGTGTAACTCGGGAACCTTGGAAGCCTGGAGATAATGTCGTTAGCCCTATAGCACCTAGGATGCTAGATTCATGTCGCATTCACCAGAACAACCACTAAAGGCAATGCCCAGCTAGAAGGTCACATTATCTCATAGAATGTTTACTTGTCAAGAAATAGTAGTATGCGTTCGACAAACCTGAGCAACGCGATACGAATTACACCCCATGTTGGCTTACGTGAGACAGCCACGATATCACAGCCAAGTTGCATCGTGACATCCAGCGCCAACATGCTCTTGATTTCTACTTGTCGAGGCTCTTATCCAACCCATTCAACGGTATATCACGGCGCCTGAAGTTCTCGACCTGCATGAGACTGCCCAATCAAGCCTTGAGCCCACCACACTTGCCGTGCATAAGAGTGTGCATCGTCACCGCCGTCCAGCACAAGATGTCGTGCTGCAACACACCGCATGGCGCCTGCCCATACATACCCAGACACCTAAAGGCGCAAATGCTGCCGAGCATCCCACCACACTTCACAGCCCCGCGTGAATAGGCGCCGACGAACATCCACAGATATACCTATCGCTAAGGTCATCACATCATCTCGCACATTTCCGAGCAACAGCTATACCTACATACAGAAGTCGCCACGATATCGTCGTCCCGGCATTCTCACCAGCCTAGCACTCGCGCCCATCCCTATCGTCTTCCCTGTCGCACTCTACATCGCGGACGATCATCATCGCCCGACGATACCATGCCTGAGGACCCGCGCCCATCCTCAGGTGAAGAGAAGAAACAGTCTGGGCCCCCCTATAGTATCAAGGGGCAGCTCTTTGCTATTTCCGGGGCTGGATCAGGCATCGGACGTGCGACGGCTACACTGCTGGTTGCAAGCGGCGCAAAGGTCGCGCTGGGAGACAAGAATGAACAAGCAGTGTCGCAGCTCGCGAGAGAACTTGGGGCGAGTGCGATATGGGCGAAGGTGGACGTTACAGTCAGGGAGGAGGTAGAGCATTGGCTGGCGCATGCGCCGACGAGGTTTGGGTTGAAGCAAATCGACGGTAGGCCAACGTCCTATCTTCAAGGCATGAATGTGCCTGGCGAATTCGACATCTGCATGAGTGCTTTGACTGACATGAGCATGACGTAGGCGCAGTGAACCTCGCAGGCATCTCAGGTCGACTCGAAACTGCGGCAAAGTTCGACGCCGCCGACTACGAGGCCGTCTTCGCAGTCAACGTCCGCGGCACGTTTAACTGCATGTCAGCCGAGCTGCGCAACATGCGTGTGGCAAGTTCAGGTGTGCCAGGCGGGTCGATCGTGAACGCTGCGTCGATAACAGGGCTTGTCGGCAAGCAAAACTGCTCCGTCTATTGCGCCTCGAAGCATGCCGTCGTTGGGCTCACAAAAGCTGCTGCGAGGGAGCAGGAGCACACTGGAATTCGCATCAACGCCATTGCACCGTAAGTTCTTCTTTCCACCACTCAAAGGAACTCTCTCCG